ATTTAAAAAAAGAAACACCTAAAAAGTATGAAGTAACCTAAACTATATTATCAATTATTTAATAAGAAATGTATAATTTGAATAGGATCCACAGTGCTTCGATCCCTTTTCGCGAATGCCATAACCCCCCAGCATGCAAATATCACCGGCTATTGCTGCTAATTATTCTTCAGTGGTGCAAGTATTGACAGTGCAGCGGCTTGTTTTTATTAGCGTACCGATGGGGTTGTAGCGGGACCGCGCAGTCACACCTTCTCCATGTTCGAGCAGTTTACATTCCCTGCACGCCGCTCCGAAATTACAAATGGATGCCATTTAATTACATTGTCTTGGCAAATAGTTATAAAAGTAACAGGCCGGGCCGGGGGCCAACGGCGAAGGCTGAGCGCGTCTTTTGCAATCAGGCTGATTTAAAGACGCGTCTAGGGCTAGGCGTGCTAGGCGATGCGCCGTTTATGCCTGACGGAAGCCTTATACTTCGGGTTCACGCCGCCGTGCAGCCGAAAACAGAGCTGGGAGCTCGAAATTTAAATAACCTTTACAACCCTTACACTCAATTTCTCAAACGTGACACGCAACTCAAGAGCAATAATTTTAATTCGTACAGTTCATTGATGTTTCTCGAATGACCCCGCGGAATTCCTAATCAGATTTAACTGATTATTACTTTGCACAAATTCATTTTAATAATTTTTATTACGAATAGGTATTTAGAGAATTATTATTTATTTGTATATAAAGCATTTATTTGATGTATGCATTTATTATTTTATAATTAACTGTCAACTTTTATTTTATTCAGAAAATAAAATTTTTAGGCTTCATAATGACGAGCATTAATATACCTAATAGGATTCACGTTAGTGACATTTAATATCATTTTCACGTATTAATTTAAAAATTATGCAAAAATGTTTGCATCACACACAGCTCTGATTTAGCTCACTATTTAAATCCATATTAAATTTGAAATTCACACCTATACCCCACAACGTAATAAACAGTCACATTTTCTTAAACCTTACAGCAACCCCTATAGAAGTCGTTCCCATCTCGGTTTTCGAGTTAACGATTCCAGAAAGGGTTAGGGCTTCGTGTCACTCAGCCGTATTTCTTAGTATTTCACCTTCATGTTTATGTAACTCAATTACTTTTGACAATTCTCACTTACTTTCGTCCCCGGCGTGGAAATACTTTTGCGGAGTATTCGGCGGTAGTTTATTTGGCGCACATTCGAAGCGTACGGCGTGGCTCGAGATTAAATAACGGCGGAAAATTCGGCGTTAATAGGGAGAAAGGCCAGTTATTATCTGATGCCGGAATTAGCGACCATCTGCAGGCGTACGCTGCACTACTATAGTCGGATTACATTTATCACAGAGAGGCCATAGCATCGCAGTTCACAGGGCGTATCGCAAAAATCGCATATAATATCCTATTACACCGGACCCCATCACAAATAATAAACTTATTACCCAAGCATCAGTTGCACTCTGAAATAAATCGATAAAGCAGTGCGTCCGCCAAAATTTGCAAAAACTTCGCAATTCGCTGAAATTATCATGACAATCATTTGGTTCTCCGGTCCGGAACAAAAATTGCATAAAAATAAAAGGAAAATTCGCCGGAATGTCTAGCGACATTCCAGAAATTAAGCTGGATAAGAAGGTTTATCGAATACGAGTCTATGGGTAGTTTAGAATGGCTTGAAAGGAACCAATGTGTTGAATCTGAGGCATAATTCTGCGCGAGAGCGCAAAGAAAGAAAAGAGGCAAAGAATCTGGTAATAGTTAGAAAGCGTTCTAGCGAAAATGAATGAACGAATGAGAAGTGGAATAGCGGACAGAAGTTGCGAGACTAACGATTTATAAGACTGATATATCACTTGAATTTGCCGGATATTTGCGAATCGATAGCATTGCTCAAAAAAAGATAATTAAAACAAATAATAAAACTCTAAGATATAGTTTCGATAAGTACAATAAAGCTTTTATTAAAAGAAATGTCTGTGTATAAGAAATAACTAACTTTTAATAATAATATTATTCTCATAAAACTTCGATAAGAAAATTCTATTAGACACAATTTGATTAAATCAATCAATTCGGATCGCATGCACAAGGCAAGTTAAAAGTGTTAATATTCACATTCCCCAAACAAATAAATCAAATTCACAAATTAATTATTCCTTGTTTATGGTGATTGCTTTCGTAGTCTACATTTTAAAGCCAATCAGAATAAGTGATTTCGGCAAAATTATAGCTCAGTCCTTGAAAATTGCACCGGATTAATGGTTCATTTAAGAACCAGACCACTAATCGACCCTACTATTGGAATAAAAAAAATCCATCAGGTCACGCATTCGTTCTAAATGGGGTGGGAGCGGGTTCTCGGAGATTTATATATACGAAATTTCGTGTTATCTACTCACCGAACGGATTATTCCCCGGCGTTTATTTAAATTTTTAATCCAATGACAAGATTGAATTGATCCAAAAAAATGCCCAATACTCTAGCGTTTAATCATTATTCAACGTCGAGTGCCCCCGATCGAGCAAGTATCCTCTACATCGAGTTAATTTTCTGTATAATAAAAAGCAGTTACCGCACCATTCTGCCTGGAAACCCCTTTCCAACAACTGCGATACACTTGACGGGTGCCGAGCCTCGACAGAAAGTGAAACTATCGCAACAGTGCACGCCCCTGAAACATCCATGCTATGGGAATAATTAATGTTTGGGTAATGTTAAGGGCGAAACCTGGAATAGCCATAGGAAGGGTCTCTTCTGGCTCGTCGCGGCCACTCGACGGCGTTTACAAGAAATCAATTTTAACGAAGAGATGGCCCGAGCTAAATCTAAATAAAGGAACACGTTATTGGCGATAAGATAGACGAGCGTGTTGACTGTCTTGAGAAGAGCTCCATATCCAGATATAGTCCCGGAAATATAGGCCTGTTGAATTTAACCCCTTGATGCGATTTTTTATTCACTTACTATCCTAGTAAACGAAAATGTTATTAAACTAATACGTGAAATAGTACGATTTTTTACGAGGTGGATTTTTATTGATAAAATGGCGTACGAGAAATGTGAAATTAGGCCTTGACTAACATGTCTTCTATCCCGTTCGCGTCCAAAGTTTCAACAGCGGAATGGGGCAGACGCTGAAACCGAATATAGGGCTGCATTCCTCTTTGCATCGCTATCGCCCGAAGAAAAGGGATCGAAGCTGCTTAAATATTAGATGGTATTTGTCAATCTTGATGGATTATTGGAACAGCGAAATAACATTATTACTAAAATTTATATGCGTTCTTCCGTCACAGAGATTGATTTCGTTTACGCTAAACAAATCACCAACCGAACAATAAACATGCATTTTTAATAGAAATCGGTAAAAAAAAACATTTGTTCTTTACCAATAATTTCCAAGTAGATTTTTTAAATAATGTGAAAGCTTCTAGCGAGTACTGGTAGATTTACATTAATTCAACCACCTATAATCGATTGAATAGTAAAGTGTTCCCATACGAAAGGAATTCAGCTATTGAAAAGATAAAGTGTGTGATTTCAAAAACAATTAAAGCGTTTGTAAAAAGCGCTTTCGTGCCATCGGGCGATTTGTTAGCCGCGAGATAGTGGGTAGTTTGACGGCATTTACCTATCTCTCTAGTATTAAAAGCAGGACTCCGGCATACAACGAGTAATGATGAAAAATGTTTTAATTATGCATTCCCATAATATTAGAAATTCGAGCAAAAATTTGTGAACAGTAATCGTCCAAACTAATAATAAATCAACATTTTTATAGTCGGAGCTTTTATTAAAAGCCATTAGTTTCGCGCAAAATAGTAGAGTGTGAAGTACGATCGTTCACTTTATAAAAGGGAAATGTCTGCTAGACCTACACTTGTTCGTTTTAAATTACATCAAAAATTTAATTTTATATAATTAACTTAATAATTAATGTTACGAGGAAATTTCATTATGAAGCTACATTAAATCTTTTTCAATACAATAAAATTCGTTCCATTTCGCACTACAATACTTCCTCCCCACAACCCTCGGTTTTAACTAAACTGCGCGAATAAAAAATTAATAGACTTATTAAAATACTGGCGGCTTCGTTAACGATAAATCAATTCGCGGAACGAAGAGGTAGCGTAGTCACTTCCTTATCTGTTGTTTCTCTTGGGAACGAACGGTAACCACGAAACCGACACAGTGCACCCTCTCATACCGATATATCCTGGTAGGAAAAGATTCTTTACGTTCCCTAATCGTTTATAAAATGCGATTGTTCTTGCGGATTCCGCTACACGATCTTCCGGATAATCACCCGAATTCGGATCGAACGGATTCGATGCAACGTTATATACTTTTCCATTTCGAAATTATCGGGAATGCCCGTACACGTTGAGAGTACGAATCTTCGAATCGTTGATTTTTTTTTTCGAATTTCGTCACCTCGCTGATGTGATGATTTTTCGTTTAGTTTGGCTACGCGAGCTGCATGAAGCGTACTTTCGCAAAAACCGGCCTAATTTGAACTGTAATTAACTGTTATATTTATAATATTTGATGTGGTATAATTCGGTCAATTTATTAAATCAAAATGCCGTCAATAAATTGCAAGGCCGTAACAGCGAATACATACACCTGTAGAATGATGTTCATTAAAATAATAATGATACAAATGAAACTTATTGCATTATTACCCATGTTAATTTCGCGTAAACCATTCCGAAACAGTTCATCTATTAAAAATTAATACGTGTAAACAAAATTATCAGTGTATATTTTAGGAAACTCGTAATTATATTGAATATACGCATCAATTTTAATTCGCTATTTAATCGCTCGAAAATATTTGACAACCAAGTCCTCTTTGTTCAAATAAATTGATAATAAAGTCAATGTACCCCATAAATTAAATAATTATGTATGAAAATAAAATTATATCAAAAAAATGGAATAGAAAAACCACTTTACTTACAATTTTTCCGGAACCAGTAATTTGTGCTGCTTATCGGAATCTTCAAACCTACAACAATTATTATCAATCAATTAATTTTATCAACTAATTATGAATTCTTCAATGCAGGGATTAAATCGAAATTTTAGGCGGGCAAGAGAAAATAATCCTTAACAAGAATTTATTTTTACGAGAAGCGGGTTAACACATCGGCTAATTGAATATTTAATCTAGCAAAAGTTCTCCTCTTAATTACGAAATTCTTAATGACTGCAGTATATTCTATACATTTCGCATGCACCAATCGATAAAATGCAAAAAGCACGGGCACAATCTCGAATAAATACAAAACCAAAACGACGAATTCATATATGTATGTATTGCAGTTGGATATATGCAATCGCTAAAAGATCAGAAAATATACTAAGTACCGATATTAATATTCTAAAAGGGATGCAGCTGGACTTATTGACCCTTTTTGCATAACGGATGGTTCTACTTGTGCTCCAATAATTTGCCAAATGGGTGCTTTTGTTTTACATTCAAAGATATTGCGTTCAAGATTAGAAAAATACACTTATATAAAGGAGCTTTAAAATATTTACTCATTGGGCGTTGAATAAATGAATGCAGTTAGTTAAATTTAGAAAATACTGCCGGGTATCAAATGCATAAACAGTTAAGTATAGTAACTAATTTCATCCGTCTACCATTTAGTAAAATCTGAATAATTTGCGAGTGCGGCGGCCCCAAGTTTATTCATTCAAAGGTGGAGGCGGCCGTGTCTCGACTCGGGGCCTTATCTTGAATTATTAGTGGACATGTGTGTTACCTTGATTTAATCAGTGAGGTTGAATCGGTGAAAGAGAACTGTGGATATACGGATTAGGCGTATTAACTCGGCGGATAAGAATTTTATCGCATTTCGCAAACGGTGAAAAGTTACGGGGTTTTTAGGTACGAATTATTTTAGAGCTGTATAGCACCCGTTTAGATCCCTATAGCTGAGGGTTAATTATATTATACCATTTACTTCGGGAAACTGATAATGACTGATACTATTGAGTGGAAAGGTGTTTTATGGAGGTATCTAATAGTTTTGTAGCACTAAATAAGAAACCAACAAATTAAACCGTGTTACAAATTTATATATTCGCGTAGATATATGTTGGAGTAGCATCAGGAATATCAAGCTAAGCTTTCAAAAAATTTAATATCTATAATACATAATTCTATTTGTCTTGAGGGTATTTATAATTAATAGGAGAAGAGCTAGCTTGCACCTTAAGCTTTTGTTTTGCTCCATATATTCAATAGTAAGTTCGTGATAATTACAGAACGGAACAAACGTTACAAAATACATAATATATGTATATATTGTAGAATACATGATACATTGATTAAATCGAGAAATTACGTATAAAGTAACTCAAGTTAATTAAAGCTACATTATTTTTTGACGAGTTTTATTGAGTGTAATACTTGTTTAATGCAGCTCGTTAGTCAGCTAATGAAAGTATTTCCCAGTAATAAATTCATTTCAATTTAATTGAAAAATTTATCATGCAGTCAAACAAAAGACATGTCAACCGCAAATGGCACGTACAATTTTGTTAACGTTTTATTTTTCTAATTCATCTCGGAAACGATGGGAAATTCATTCCGCACACACATCGAATAAGAGATCTACATTCCAATAAGAATAAAACCTAAGTTCAAGAAACTGTAACATACTTATTGTTTCGATTCAATACAGACACGCGAATTTCTATCAACGAGATTTCTTCTTTTATTTGGTTTATTGCAGTCGTCGGGTTTACTGTTCTTTGCGTAAAGTATTAGTTCCGAGCAACAAAGTGCATTCCCTGAATTCACGAAAACTAATTACTTTTCTTTTCTTCCTGTACACTAAATTAATCAATCGTTTAATTAAGTAATTTAAATTATTTATCGTTTTATTGTAGGTCATTTTATTTTAGTTAGGTACGAACCGGCGCCTAATTAAATTGCCGGAAACTAAAAACCTATATTGATCGATTTAAATGTATTTGACCCTTGGGTTGCGAACAATTAATTAGGCTTTATATGGAATGCTAATGAAGTTAAAACTATTTTTTTGATCATTTCGCCGAAAACTCATTATTATTCCTTAAGATGGTTGTTAATTCCGGAGTCTCTTTTTAGAGTCTTATTCGCATTAATTGTGACCGCTCTGTGTACTAATGAACTGATTACAAACCGTTTCTGAGCGTATGGTAGTGGTGAGAATTACCATTGGAATAAAGATTACTGTATACGTGCATTCCCTATAACTGGATCCGAGGGAAAAGAGAATCTGCATTCAATTTATTTCGCTTTTAATTTATAACTGAATTATTGTTTGGACGCTCCGAGAAATTCAATTGAGGTTAAAAGAAAACGATGAATAGTGAAGGAATAGTCCAATATGTCAAAATTTAAATTAGACTACATCACTTTTTATTTATCGAATTTTACTATGAAGTGTTTGTTGTAGGTACTCTTAAAATATTTCACAAGCTGTTAACGTCAAAATTTGTTCTAAGTTTAAAAACTTCGAGTAACATGTGAAACTGTTCCGAGTACCTCAAAGGAGGAAAATGAATTTTAAACTTTTACAAAGACTGATACTTTTGAGCGCAAAATGTATGTTAAAAAATAACACACTTACATTTATATAAGAATTCGCAGGAATAGGCGAAGTTTTCCACCTGTGCTAGTTCGTGTGATCTATTTTTGTATCAATATTATTTTAGTGTTGGTAAATCTACGATATGAACTATAGAAGTGTTGTTATATTATGTTATAGTACAACGATTATTTATGCATAGTTCGGAAAAAAAAATCCCGAAGCATAAACAGCATTAGAATTTCGCGTAAAGTCTTCTCACATCGAAGAAGTTTCATCCCTCGAGAGCATGAAATAGAGCAGTAAAACACGCCCTGAACTAATAAATTATATTGTCTGTATTTGACTGCATATAGAATATAAAAAAAAATCCTCAAAATCAATAAAGGTTTACATGTATAATAGTTTACAAGAAATTTACCTGGGTAAAAACTCCTTATACTGTCCTAAACTAAAATAATCACACATCCTGAGCTTATAATTATTCTATTCCTATTCCTCCCGCCTACATCTCCGCGCTAAAATATACCTCCATTACAAACAATTTCAACATAATATTCTCACTTCGTAGCTACTCATGCCACAAAATTACTATCATTTAATTTCATTTAACAAACTAAACTCCAAATGACACTCATTACTTTGAATTGTGCAATAGTTTTCTTAAACGAGCGTATTGTGTTTCAGTTTCCGGGAATTTAATTTCATTTTCATTCCCTGTCCGATTCCTTGGTTGAGCAGCGATAAATGAAATAGCACCGTTACAGGTACGCTGTTAAAACTTTAGGTTATTTCTTCGTTACTTTTTAAACAAGCAAGTATATTTTAATGCGTTAGCAATTACGCGAATGGTTTTTAGATTATTCGAGGCTATCAATAAAGCGTCTTGCTTTACGGTTTTTGTTTGTATTTTTATTGGTTTCCCTTTGGGTAGACACTTAAAAATCTCATCGTAATTAATTCGGGTTTAATTAAATCATTTGCCATTGAAATTGCATCCTAACTGCATCTTGTTAATTTTCGAACCATCAATATAATGCCTAATAAATGAAGACACTTTGTCTTCTTCAGGAATTTAATTACCGATAAAATTTTAAAGCAAATATCGTGCTCAATCAATATCGAGGTATATCCTAAGCGACTCTTAATTATACCTGTTTGTACTTAACGGTTTCACGGAACTTTACTTTTATTTGTCCAGTAATAGAGGCTCTTTTTTTGAGGTTTCGGAATATTTATGCTTCTTCGTTGAGCAATCAATTTGCGGTTTTCACTATAGCGAGCACTTAACTCCCTGCATTTACGGAAATAGCTTAATTGAATGTCTATTAGGTTATTATCAAAATAAGCATTGAAAATTTAATCGTGATCCTTCAAAAAATTACATTAAATCGCTTGATAAATTATACGGATTAATTATTTTCTATATTTTAACAAATAAGAGAGTAGAACTTCACATTTTATTATTAGAAATTTTATGGCAGGTATATTCGGTATTTAGAACTTAAATGCCTCGGAGTTGGATTTTAACCAGTGGAAGAGTCAAAATGTTAATTAGCTAAGCGTTAATTCGCCGAACCGGTCCCGAACGAACGAACCACGGTTCATTTTCGAAGGAAATTTTTACTCTAAAGATCACCCAGGAGAAAATTAATTATACTATTTTCCTTATGCCTTGCTTTATTTCATTAGGAACTATGTTTTTGATCAGGCACTTTTCAAAGAAAAATGTTAAGAGCAAACGTTAGAAAATGTTTTTCTTTACTTAGGTATGGAAGCTCCCGGCTTTAAGAAAACATTTTTTTTGAATCGCAATTCGCAGGCCCATAGCGTTGAAATTATAAGGACGTTCTAAAAAAGTAGATTCTAAATAATTATTTTTTAAGGAGTGTTATAGGTGTTATTTTTCTATACAATTAAATTTAATTTATATGTACGTTAATATTGAAATGAAATAAAATTTGTATGCTTTTTTCAGAAATAGTATAAATTGACGAGCTAATTGTCTGAAACTATGCAAAATTGTAAATTTAAAACTAATTTTAAATTACCAACTGGTGTCGTCCCTGTAGACACCAAATACAGAACAGATGGATTAGGTGAAAAGTCCATTTTAATGTTAACAATGCGTTAAATGGATTAAAATTGCTTGTAACTATACTGTATAATGGTTTAATTGGTATTAACGGATTTGATGATAAATTCTATTGGGAAATGTAAAACAAAAAAGCTACTCCTTGCTAAGTACTAATAAAAAAGAGTAAATAAAAATTCCAGATTTTTACTCCGATTCATCGTAAATGTATTTAAATTTATCATTCGGATCTAACACATACATATCCGTAATACTGTTAATTATTTCAGTGAATTATTTCAGATGAATAGGGCAGAAATTACAGGTTTAAACGATTGACGATCCCCAAATATATATGAAAACAAAATAAAAAATATTTTTTTCATATTATAGAAAAACCTATCGACTCTCTCCTGTTCTTGGCAGCTATCGCGATTGATTCAATTTTCTGGTAAAGAATGTAAATTGGAAAATTTCTGACTTCCTTCCATTGAGCGTGTTCATATTTTTTTCAAACTCTGATCGGATTTTGGAACGGTTTTCAAAAAAATAAATTTACTAGTGTTAATGCGTTAAATTGAATAAAAACTTCTATTCATTAATATTCATGCATTCGTTGCAAAAAATGGCAATAGGTCCAATATTGTTTGTAAATTATATATAAAATATTTATTAAATAATAATAAAATTTTAGTACCCAATCATTTACTATTATTTTTAAATATTTGGTAATTAATTTTAACTATACTATTCTAATAAGATTAGATATTAAATTTCTATAAGTAAAAACTACTTATAAATTTTTATGTAGTAATTAAAATTTACGTTACCTTGTCGAAAGTTTGTCAACCACCATAAAACATATTATTATAAATTTTGGTGGATTTCTTACTCGATTCTTCACCAAATTTTTAGACTTGCAAGTTCACGCCAAAAATCACTAGGTACAGAAAGCACTAAGTTTCTTTTGAAATTAAAATATAATTTTAAATATGAATAAAAAATAAATAAATAATTATGTGAAAATTAAGAATTTTTGAATAATTTAAACGTCGATTAAACTAATATGAAAATAAATATTTTTGTTATACTAAAGTGGTCTATGAAATTATTTCCCACGTATAGTATAAACTTTGGCAGGTAGAAAATTGATGAAAAACCGAAAAAAATGAATAAAAGATTATATTTACAGTGTCTTTAACGTCGCATAAATTTTATCACCCTCTTCATGTTACGAGTAACTTTACTTCACATAAATTTTCGAGCGCATCAACGTACAAACACTTTCATTAGCGGAATCATATTTGGAAAGTTATCAAGATGTTTTAGATGTTAATACAACATTTTGCGCGCGAAAAACAAGCAAAACTTTTAAAGTATCATCAAGTTTAAATTGAATCGTAATGGAATATATTTACATCTCTCGCTCCTCCGGCAACCATAATAATATTGTTTCCGGTAGTTGAAAAACTTTCGCAAGTTTCCGGAACTTTTTGGAAGTTGTTAAGTTAGGATGTAATTCCTACCTATGGATGTGTTTCGGTTTTTTGCCTCTCGAAAGATTCCCAGCGAAAGTTGCGGAACTAAGAGCTGAATAAATCGCGACGGTGCCCGACTATCGCGGAAAATCGGGAAAAGCGGTAGAGCGCGCTTCGCAGTCGAGGCATGCAGCGTGACTAGTCCCGATCCCGATGTCCCGCTACGATTACCACGGCAAAGAAACTGGTCATAGACTGGAAGTGGAAGACCGACCATCACCTCGTGCCGCTCAGAGCCGCGTGCCGCCGGCTTCGAAGGGCCGCCGACCGCCGCCGAATCGGGCGACGAGCCTGTGGGAGCGGCGTTTCACCACGCCCCCGAAAACTGTTTGGGAAACAAATGCGACGAGGAGCGAAGTAACTGTTGCTCTTGCAGGGCTACCCCGGAGCCTGAGGGATGCTCCCATCACGGAAATCTGCACAGGAATGCAATTTCATCAAAGCATACAGCGCTGCGTTGTATTCTCAGTCCGGATCACAAGACTCGGCCACACGGAAAACAAAGTTATAAGTCTCGGTTACGGATTCATTACATTCAGTCTCAGCTCGCACGAGTATTCGATGTTCGACCGATGAATATACCTACTATTTCCCATATCCAACCGACTTAAATGCAATTAACTCAATTACATGCATTTTATTTTATTACGCTACAAAAGAACCGATTCTAATATAATTTCTACTAATGCTATAATAAGCCCGTAACATTACATACGTATACGCCTAAATCTACGTATCACATCAGGTTGAATTTACAAGCGCTTAGAACCATAATCCGACATTTAACACGATACGTCCCGTCGATATGCGTCTAATACGTCAAGTCAACAATTGAGAGAAATTATGTTGCAAACACTTCTAATCATGAATAAACTCTACGATATTACCAGGAATATACACCATCATTACCAACAACAATTATACGAGAGATATACTACGCAATTAAATCTAAATTTATTCAAAATATGAATAGTTCACACCTAACGCACTCGAATTTGCAGCAAGGCGGTTGCAGCAAGGAATGCGAGCATTGTAATAAAAAAAACGGGTTAACGAAATAAAGCAGGGAGGAAATTTAATTACAGCGACCGAGAAGAGTTTCCATTGATGTTAGGAAGAAATGGTAATAATATAATTCCAATATCAATACCAATTAAAAATTGGTGTCCTAGCAACCCCAAATTCAAATCCTCGGTTCCAAGGTAAAGGCGGAAAGTTTGATATAGAAAATAATCTGCGGATTGTTACGTTTCAGTTGTACTGATTCGAATCCACAATAAAATCTTAAAATTATTGCGCGGTTAAAAACGCAGAGCAATTCCTTCTTCGTTTTCGAGTAATATAGAAACTCTTATGCTTATTCATCACGAGGTGTTCAGGACGTTTATCGTTGTTTCTGCTTCATCTTACGTTCATTACTAACCGGTCTGAGTGTATTAAGCATCTCTTGCGGTCGCATTGTTGTCGCGACCTTCTCCAGTTGCTGTTTATTTCCAGTGGCGCTGCCAAACATAAAAATTGCCAGAAAATTTTAAAAATCACCAAATCCAAAAATGTGAAATTTTACAATTGAAACATAATAGTTTCTGCAATATTAAAACCAGTAGTAACAGAACCGATCGAAATATATACATAATAATAGTGTAAAGTTCAGTATTTCACAAATTAATTCTACATTTAACCTGGAACTCGGAGTTCCTGTTATCCAGCAGGAATCGAATTACATATTTTTAAGGTAGCAGAAATGTACTTACATATTCATATTTTTTGAGGATGTTAATGAATATTTATATTTCTATATTTGAAGGTTGCTGTGAATTAGCAATCCTAACGGGGCTAACACTTAAATAATAAATATGCTGTCGGATAAAAAGCTGCACTAGATGTAAATCGAAATTCGAGCGATGTAAAAAATATTGGCATATTCTATTTCTCTTTTGATAAGCCACTAAATACCACAAAATGAAACACACTGTGTGAGAGAATAACCCTCTTTACACGTGTTCGTTTACGTATCCATATGTCTATGTAGTCTCGAGTTTTGAGATTATAGCTCTTCAAAATGCATTTTTACGAGACTTCACGTAAAGTGACATAAAATTGCTTTATAGCAAGGAAATTGTTAGTTTTATGGGAGGAAAAAATCGTTTTGTAATTTATATGCATAATGGCCGTAACACGCTCTCTAACATAGGGTCACCATAAATACCAGATATTATAGAATAGCATAAAAAGGGTGTATCATTATTCTGAACCCTATTTTCTACACAACCTAACAAAGTGTGACTATGATAAAATTATTCTACACGAAAATATAAGAATTGAGAAAGAACATTTGCCTTTATCAGAGAATAATTAAACGTACTTTTAGAGAAATTCGTTTGGTATGTTCTCGATTACAAAATAGATTATTAAATCTACAAATTGCACTTTGACCTGATCCCGAATAGTATGAAATGACGGAGTAAAACGCGCTAGCAGCTTTTTGTTGTATGCTCGGTGAATTTTGCTGGCGGAAACTTACGGATATTTTCTGAATTTATACACAAAAGAGCACCGAAATACATCATGCAAGTGCTTATTTTATTCGAAATAAATACATACAGGATTAAATTCCTATAGTATAATAGTCGATAACAAACGCATTACTCAATGAGCAAATTGATATTAAAAAGTTATCCGCCAGATTAGAAATAATCGCCTGTTAAAAGAATTAAGCTGTTATACACACGGAAAATTTCGAACGCGAGCAGAAGTTTTATCCAGTAACTCAAAGAACTCCCACACTTTGAGTTTTGTGATAAATCTATTGTCAAGGAAACCGTGGAAAAAAAGCGTTTGATTTGCACGCACATCAAATTGAATTAATTTTCGAGAAATTGAGATATTTTAAGTATCGCAGTTTAGATTTCGCGAAGATAAATGCAAACTGTATTACATTAACGTCTGTTCGTGATAAAGTGGTCGCAGAATTCAGTTATACAATTTTTCCGGGTTAATTCAATTTTTCAAAGCAGTGGCGAACTATCCGAAAGATTGTTAAAATTCAGCAGTTGATAGTGCCAGTAACCTATCTTATTCAAGCCGTTGCCAGTTAAATGCTGGCCAGCGCCCGAACGGGAATATAGCGACCAACCGAAAAAGGCTTACTTGCAATCGGCAGTGACTATTAAACCGAAACATAGTCCACTGAAATGTATCAACTGCAGCAGCCCTACAACAAATCGATTAAAGACCAAACGAGCTTCTATTGAAGCCTTAATTGCATGTTGAAAAAATTATTTTACATATGTAGATCATACAATTATTAAGAATTAGAGAATAAGAATACTATATCACTTAAGTAACTGTGTAAGTAATATTAGGTAATTATTTGAGGAGTGATTAAAGAATAAAAATCGTGGAATTGTATAAATAGAGGATTTCTATAGCTATTCCACACTTTATAAGATGTGTCGACAAACTCCATGCCGGCTGATAAGTAACTTCCAGAGCAGGATATGATTACTATTCAAGTCACGAGTACTGCCGAACCAGGCACCCTGTCATTCTTGTCTTTCTATATACTATACACCCTTTTTTTGCTTGAAAAATAACAAAAAGTGTAGCTTTCTCCGTCTTTTATGTTTTTTTTTTCTTCGAGTTATTCTATATTGCTTTACACACAGATTATCGAATTAGGTTATTATACGTATTATGTAAATTTGCTTTTACAAAATGGTTTTTAGTTTCTTGTGTTGGAGTAGGAAAGCCATTTGTAATGGAGTTAAGTGTCCTATACAATGTTAAAAAGATACCGTTATGAATTCGGAGCGTACGAAGTGGATAAAATGCGAAATTATTTATCGTTCGATAAAATTAAAATGCCTTCATAATTCGGAAATTTCGTTTTCTCTCTAAAAACATAATTACAAGCTCTGTAGAGAATATTTCAGCCATTTATTGCATACCTATTCGTGTACTAAATTTCAAATTGATGTAGATAAATATCACTATGTCCAACGAATTGACATTTAAAGGTCGCTACTTTCCATGTCGTTGAATAGACATCTTCCTGAAAGCGCTAATTATTAATGATTTTAAATTGTCCTATACCGGATATAAGCAAATAAAACATCAATAATATCCCGTGAACATGGAAGCGTTAATAATTAATCACAACGCAAAAATCTAGCGCTTATGCAACAGCTATGACATATACGAAGGGGTTCTATAATACGCAATTAACCAGGCAATGCTATTACACCCTTAAACATAAATACATTTCCATCAACAATGCACTGACAAGCATGCAGACGGACGTCAATCCTGCAGATATCCTCTTCAGAAATGAAACTACAGCGGCGCCTTATTCGGACAGCCAGGCAACCGAATACAATGTTCTTAACACACGAGAGCCATATTGTAGATTTCAAATTAACCATATTTATATACCCATATACAACTATCAATCTAAAGGGATACAATGCAACTATCCTGCACAGTCTTTTTAAACTGATACAATCGAATTAAAAGATATAGTTTATTACGCATTGTACAGGATTCCTTTCGAGACTCTGCCCGGTTCTGATCCCAATTTCACCATAGTGTATAATAATGGAAATTCGCGATTCAGCGCTGATACACAATGGCTGATGCTGTGTCATATGTAAGCTATTAGCCGGCTTCCCAAATAAATTGACAGATGATACATACGTATACTAAGCGGCATTTCGCCAATTAAGTGTCACCTCGAATTTATTCGAGGAGATACTAGACAGAGGTTGGCGAATCCGTGGAACAATGCTCGGCGTTTATTGTCTTTTGAACGAATCGAAAGTTCCCTTGTGAATTTTGATTATGGATTCTTAGGTCAGGGGTAAATGGGTATTCTAAAGCTGTCTGGTTAGTTCAACATTTATCCAAAACAAAGAGAGGATGGCACTAGAATTTCGGCTTTCGCTGAACTAAGATTCTGGCTTTTCATAAATTATCAAGTCAATTCATCGCCAGTGGTGGGTGTTGTAGCTTTAATTCAAGGAGCTCGTATATTAAATAAATTCACTGATGAAACCTACATTAAAAGAAACACTATCAGTTCATCAACAACCCACGTGGCACCGAATTAGAATAAACTCTTAATTACATTCACCTCCTAATAATCGTAGAAGAACTAACACCGTCGAAGCAATGTAGATATTCAAGTGTATTCTTCGAAATTCTTTCTCTTCCCAAATTAAATATTTATATTGTTTGGGTATACATAGTAGAGGATGGGTGTACGGACCGCGAGTACAGGCCTTGAATTTCCCTCACCTGCGATTTGATGAAAGTGACCGAGTCGGTAGGTGCAGGTAAGTAAAACCAACGGACAGAGAACATGGGCAATCGACAGTGTGTTTGTTGTTGCGGAGTTCGTGGTATATAAACAATAGTGCTCCACACAAATGAGTGACCAAACAGGGTGAAAATGCCGCGAAAATTACTGAAATTCCTCATCTTGTTCGATAACACGTCTTTGCTGTATTTTCCCGGCCAGTTTTTATCCGGCAGAGTCCTCATTGAACTTCAGGATGATACACCAGCGCTAGGTGAGAATATTTGATGAGCACTGTCAATAAAGCGAATGTGGACTGTCAATCTTTTCTTAAAACTCATTACTGTATCCGTTATATTGAATGTCTCCTTAGAATTTTAATAATATTACATAAAAAAATCTTATGATACACGTAGTTTATGAAATTATAACCTTATTTTTAGTATTTCTACTTATAAATATTTCTTAACTTAAACCTTCATTACATTTTAACCTAAACTAACAAATAATTATATACCCTATGGCGATGGTAAATAGAAAACGAGTCTTCACTTAGTATGGACAAGTATTATTCCATACTTAGTAATAGAAATTGTGTTCATTAGTAGAAATTTACAAGCGTTCTTATAATTTGCAATTACTTCTTCAAACGCATTCCACAACGTTAGATACGTATGAACATGGTATTTTAAAATAAATGATATCGAATCACGAATACTGATTCTTGCACTACTGATTGATTTAAAAAGCGTCGGTGCAGCATAATTTGTATGTGTATCTATTATTTCAATTAGCAGTCAATAACAACAGTGGGACGTTAATTATCCGTAATTAATATCGGAATAACTACTACATAAACAAGTTCTAATTGGTATATTTTTAATTATGTTAAAGCATGATCAACAGTTGTTTAACAAAAAGATCTGCACAATAGTGACACAATTTACTGTAAAAAGTCATTTCCTGTAATTTGTAGGTAATGTTGTAATAATAGTATGCCCACATATTTAAAACAACAAGGACATTTCACATAAGGCACATATCTGATATTAAGGACATTTGGGATAAAAAAAAATCTAAATTTGTATTGCCCATAAAGCATACATAAGCATATGTATCAATTATTAGGTATTTTTCGATTTATCTGTTCATTATTTCGGTCAACTGTTCATTACTAATGTCAACTGAGATAACATCTGTAATTTTTTCCATTTTCTTTCTAAATTTTTCCACGTCCCTATGTCAGTCGATCTTTCTGATTATTCTTTTCCATAATACTCAGTCGGCTGGCCAGTTTTTGTCTTTCTGTCAGCCTTTATTATATCCATCCATCTTAGTTTTGATCTGCTACAACACATGCACAGTTAGGTGTAATTTTATTTTCCTCATAATTTCAGAACAGTATTTATAGAGAACAAATAATTGCTTCCTTTCTTCCTGGAAACAACTTACCCAGTGTAATTACCTGTTTATTAAAATATATTTACCCGCTCACTTCCTAAAAACCCGAGTTATATCTACATTTTCTGTTAGTCTGTAATTTCTCGTTAGTAACAAAATATTTTCGACATAGTTCGCCTATTTGTTTTTAAAAAGCAATAAGCCTGGTAAAGTTGTTTCACATGCACGCTAAGAACTTGAAATTGGATATTTTTTACATACCATGCGCATGTGTTTCGGGAAATTGGTTCTGAGTAAAAATATTTTAGTCCTTTATAGCATTTACCTACTAGATATTCAACCGATGCATCTTTTAGATTACTTTTATTCGCACAATACACAAGTATTTGTGTTCCAGTAATGCGATGACCCCACGTAAAAATCTTAATGCAATTTTTAATCGTAAATCCTATTCGTATGATTTCACTTTTTGAAATGTAGGTCCTGTGGTGTAAGGTATGGCAATTATTTGAAAAGTTCAAAACATCTCCAGTATCACAGCTAATAACCTACTTCTCGAAAAACGAGTTAGTTAATGTGGTTGCGCAGACGATCGGTCAACTTTTTAAATCCGATTTAACCGGTGTCTCGGCTAATTTTATAGGTATTATTAGATTTTTTTTGGAATAAATACCTGTAAGTTAAATGCGCTGGTAAAAATCCTTATTACTCTAAAGGAATTTTTTATGGAACCGGAACTAATTTTTGAATCGCTCGAGTAAATTTAATCAAGTTTTGGAGGTTTTTATTACTTGTCAATTTATTAAATTGATTCGTTTAATAAATAATATTTTTTAATGCTAACTTTTTGAAGCTTACTAGCTGAAGCTGGAATTTTATTATAATATAGAAAATAAAATATTTTTTACCACTTTAAAAATTGTTAGCACCATTAACATTTAGATACAACAATCGATATCTATTTCTATATTTACTGAGACTTATAAGTACTATTTAGCAGTTTTAACAGTTTTAAAAGAAATTTTTCTGATATGACATCATATTTACGAATATTCATAGCCTTCGCTTGCAAGTAAGGCGTCATGCAAGGTTCCTGTCTCGCCTACATTATTTTTACTAAGTTCCAATGACCTTTTAAATAGGTAATATAAAATATGAGCACAGCATATATGTTAATTAAAGGATTTCATGAAAAGCACTAAAATTTTTAATATGAAATTATGTTTCATAGGCCTCCACTTTCATGTCGTCGGAGAAGGAGTAGTGAGGGTTCGCACCCCCAGGCAAGAGAGGGTTCACGATCGAGAAAATTATATCGATTTCAGGATGAGATTACTGGGTGAACCAGGTAAGAAATAAAATAAAATCTACGAGGAATAGAACAGGAGAAATTTGTAATTTTTCAGGACAAGGACCCTCGGTCCTCTCGCCAGGAATCCACAGCTTTCCCTTCAAACTTGGCTTACCTTTAGGCCTGCCATCAACGTTTCTTGGAAAACATGGATGGGTGCAGTATTACTGTAAAACCGCTTTAAGAGAACCCAATGGACTGACTCATAAAAACCAACAGGTTTTTATTGTAATGAATCCTATAGATTTAAATTTAGAGCCGTCAATTTTAGGGGTAAGTCTATGGATATTGTCTGTTTGTATTTATTTGTACTGTTGGGTTAAGCATGAAAGGGTGGTATGCACTTTTCCATCTTGACTGCTTCACATCTATTCTACATTCTTCTATTTCCTCTTTGCTAATTTCCTTTCTATATACCTTCTCTAAATTAGAACATTTCGGGTCAGGAAACCTTCAGATGTGAGGTTGAGCACAGATTTGGAGTAAGCTGTGTAGGATCGGGAGCAGTAGTCTGTAAAGTTACCTTAGATAGAGGTGGATATGTACCAGGGGAGAGTATAGGTAATATAGAAGTACTCCGGCGTACTCGCTTAATCACCGGCCAATGTCTTTCCAGGAATATCCGCCAACGTTTACAATAGAAGTAGGGTAACAATTAAAAGTACAAAAGCTTGCTTAATAGAAACCATCACGTATTTGGCGAAAGGGAAAATTGTCCAATCGGAAAAACGCGAATTAGCATCGCTATCCAGGGGGAAAATTCGGCCAGGGGCTAAAGATGAATGGATTAATGAGCATTTGTACATTCCACCTTTACCACCGACAAATCTCAGAGGTTGCCATTTAATTAAAATTAATTACGACGTCTATGTAAGTAATTATATGAATAATTATACCAAAAGAATCTATTCATTTAATTTTTATTTTCAGTTCATTGTAGAACCGAAGAGTCTACAAAAGGAAGTGAAAATTCAGTTACCAATTATGATGGCTACCTATCCGCTTCGATCTGATGACGAAGAAGTTGGATACAAATCTGGAACGCATTATCCTTCTACACTTCCCATTTTCAGACCATGGCTTGAAGATAAACCAGCTCAAATTTGAGCTCAACACACGAATGTGTCCAGTTACTTATTAAACACCCTGTATATAGTGCTTACAGCAAAATTGTTGGTCTGCAAAAAACTTGTATGTAGAAATTTAATTAATTTCTTAGAATTGTTAAAAAATATAAAGTTTATCCGAAAAAAATATCAATAATGTTTTTAAATTTTAAGAAATTTTTATTAGAATTTCAATATGAACAAAACTGCAATATATTAGAGTGATATTGTTTCAAAATAACTACCCCCTTAGTTGATCTAACAAAAATGCCATATGTATAAATTTATGAATGAACATGTAAATAGTTTTAATAAATTGATTAATTAAGCTGTTCGTTTAATGTGAAATTAGCTAATTTCCTGCTAATTAAAAATAATCAAGTAACACATACTCCAATAAACCAGAAATCTATCTAATTCAATATTTTGAAATATGACTAATAGATGGCAGCAGTAGCTGTATAGGCAACCAATTTAACTACTTGTGAAGAGTATTGTGTGCTTAAAATTTACAAATGTTTAGACGATCAATTGTTGATTTAATCAACTAATTTAACGAAAACCAATAAATAAAATCAATATTAACAAAATTTAAAGGCTACAAATATTTTTTTAGTCGGCGTATTGAAGATGAAATGCTAGAGAATAGGAACAGGGGGCGCTTCTGTCAAACAACCAAACCAACAGGGTTCATGTTCATATACAAACAAAGTAGTCGGCAAATTGTTATTTGTCTAATTAAATATGTATCGTGATTTAAATGATAGTACTTGAGGAATGAGGTCCTCTGCCAGTTATACGCTTTAAATATTAGTGGTTGAAATCATTACTTTCTGTGGATTCCGGCAAAAGACTAAATTTAAAGCGCCATGTTATGCCAAGCCCATTATCCCTATGTATTATTTCTGTTTTATTTATTCTTGACATATCGAATAGTAAAAAGCAATCCCGCAGGTACGTATTCGCGCTAATCGAATGTATTGCGATAATTTTAGCAAAATCTGAATCGATGTGACGTAAATATTTTTGTTTTTAGATGAAGAAGATAAGGACTTAAACATAACCATTGAAGTACTTAAACATGAACTACCCAATCAGTTACCTCTCGGAGATAATATCACGATTATTTGTAAAACTAAATGGATGTCGAGCGAAATGATGTGGACATTCAATGATAAGAATGTTTCCGAACAAGCAGGGTAGGTGTAACAATTATTTTTGTTGATGTTTACGCTTTTTCATCACAGTTGAGTTGACATTTAGATTTTTAATAGATGTGATTATTAATTTAGATAGTTATTATAATTTACACACTAAATTGTTACTACTATAACTAACGAATACTTTCCAAAGCCTACATAGATGCATTTTTGTTGCAGTTTTAAATTAGAAATGGAAAGTGAGAACATAAATAAAGAGTCTGGTAATAAATTCGAAGTTTCTATTTTGCATATTCTTAGGATAGGTTTTGACCACGTTGGAAATTACAAATGTCACGCCGTTTTAAAACGAAATGACACTGATATGGATTTAGATTTCGGTCAAATATTTTTAAATGTTACATTACCAGCTCGAGTAGTACAAATGTCCAAACCCACATACACGAAGGTGCACGAAACCGTAGAAATATTTAGTATTGTAGAAGGTTACCCGATCGAGGAAATCAAATGGTTCAAAGATAACGAACCCCTGACTGATTTTACATGGAACGTTAAGGATATTAACATCACACATAAGAATACTTCTTTGAAATTCGAAGTGGCTAAAAAGGATAATGGCACTTATGCATGTCTAGCGGTGACTCCTACATCTCAAGCCCGAAATTCCACTGATGTGCTGGTTCTAGATAAACCGCAAATAGCGTTGGACTTCATTAAACCTATCGGCGTGAATAAAATATACTTTAATTGGACACTAAACGATGGCAACAGCCCGAACGATTTGAAATATATCATCCAATACAAATCCGAGGAAGACGAGGGATGGATTTATTGTCAAACAATGATTAACGCCAGCAGCACTTCCATAGTTCTCACAGTAAGAAACGATACATCTTCTAAGAAAAACTCTTCTTACACCATAAGGATCAAAGCTACCAACTCTCAAGGAGAGAGCATGTATTCCACAAGCAACTCGATACAGCTACTAGACGAAGAACCCATAGTCATTCCCGAAGTGACCGTCACCGGAGTCACCTCCAGTTCGATCACCATCAAATGGACTCCTCCGCCGGAGAAATTCAAAGACCACATCCACTACTACCAACTCATTCTTCGATCGTACCACACGCCCGAGAAGTTCGAGGCCGTCCAACCGGCCATCAAAGACTACCTTTACATGTTCTCGGAGCTGGATTCGGCCACCACCTACAATTTCCAAGTAGCCGCTTGCAGCGATTACAGCAAGGAGTGCGGCCCGATGTCCCAGCTCGTTAACGGCACCACTATGGACGGTACCGCAGGTCCTCCCTCGAACGCTTCCATTGAATGCAGATTCGATAATATCAGCCACACGAACTTCGTTTTCGTCTCTTGGCAACCTCCGATCGAACCCCACGGCACCATCCAATCGTATAGTGTAAGTTCATACAAATACAATTATTCGCTTCAATGCAAGTTTAATGTAAATTGTAGGTAACATTAGAAGGTTCGGCGGCTTTCATAAACGATCTAGGACAATTGGAAAGTCTTACTTGGGGCCCAAAATCCACAAGCATTCGAGAGATAACGCTAAACGCACGATTCAACGATGTGTCTGCCAATACGAATTACACTGTAAGACTATCGGGTGTTACTCGACTAAGAAAAAACGGACAATCTGTGACGTTGAACTGTACAATGCCGCCTACGTTACCCAACAAGCAGAAGCTAGCCAGGTTGCATTGGAACAAAATGGAAGAGCAGGGAAAATGGATGTTCAAGCTTTTTATGCCGAGGATATCCGAGAGAAACGGCCCGATTTGTTGCTACAGAATTTACCTGGTGCGCATGGAAGATCAGCAGAAACTATCCGATTTACCGAATCCTGAAGACCTAACCATTATGTCATACCAAGAAGCTCACAGGACACCTAAAGGTGGTGCTTACGTTGCGGAAATGTTCACAAGGTAAATTGAATCTACCAACTTATTCTACAATAAATTTTACGTATAACTTCCAGCTCTAGCTTCCACAACGAAATATTCTTGGGCGACGAACAGGTTTATAACATAACCAACACCCAATGCGATGAGTGTATAGGCTTGAGACCTTACAACACTCCTAGAGAAGAAAAAATCAAAAACATCACAACCAATCTAGCGAACAGGATAAGAAGAAACGAGATTCTGACTGATCCCCTTCCGCCATACGATGGAACTCTCGATATCAGCAGCAATTACACCGGCTTCGTCGAAATAATAGGTAAGTAGCACTTTTAAATTCGCGAACAAACCACTTATAAATAACTCTAACCAGTACACGGAGACGGGCAATCGCAATTCCTGGCAGCTTACAGTAATTACTTGGACATGATGAATCCTGGTCCCGAAGTTGTAGCAGCTCCCGCGGCAGGAACGTTGAGTTTAATCGTCAAAATATTATGCGTCCTGGTCGTAGTCATTTTAATACTGCTCGGCGCTCTGTGCATCTTACACCGATACACCAAACAAGCCCACGCTCAAGCCGTTGAAATGATAACGTTCAGAACTTCCTTAAGGTGAGTGTTAGCTTCCTTTATCGATACTTCTTCTGATGTGTTGTTCGTATTGCAGAGGCCTCGGGGGTCGCCAAAGACTGGTGTCTCTAAATCCTCCTGATATGTGCCCGATCAGCAAATCGGAACTCGTTTCTGCTTACATAGAACATCACAGGGACTCCGATTACGGGTTTCAACAGGAATTCGAACTGTTGCCCGACAGATTTTCCGACAGAACCACGCGAGCATCCGACGCGAGGGAGAACGTCTACAAGAACCGCTACCCGGACATCAAAGCGTACGATCAAACTAGAGTGAAGCTATCGCAAGTCGATAGCATCGCTGGATCCGATTACATAAATGCGAACTACGTGATGGGTTACAAGGAGCGCAAGAAATTCATATGCGCTCAAGGGCCTATGGATACGACGGTCAACGAATTCTGGAGGATGATTTGGGAGCAACACTTAGAGCTGATCCTCATGCTGACCAATCTCGAGGAATACAGCAAAACTAAATGCAGCAAATATTGGCCGGACAAAGCCGATGGCGACAAGATTTTCGGCGAGATTACCGTGACCCATTTGCTGGAAACTAGATACTCCGATTACATAGTTAGAGAGCTCAAAATAATTCGTTCGAGCAACGGCAAGGAATTAGAAGAAAGGAACATCGTGCAGTATCATTACTTGGTTTGGAAGGATTTCATGGCTCCCGAACATCCGAACGGCATAATCAAATTCATTAAGAGAGTCAACGAAGCTTACTCCGTAGAAAAGGGTAGCATTTTAGTTCATTGCAGCGCCGGCGTCGGACGTACCGGCACTTTAGTGGCCCTCGATTGTTTGATACACCAGTTGAAAGAAGAAGGACACGTGTCTATCTTCAACACTATTTGTGATTTAAGACATCAGAGAAACTTCCTAGTCCAGTCTCTGGTAAGTGAGCGTTTTTACTTTAATTCCCCATTAATAACTCGCTTCTTTTGTTATTAGAAACAATATATTTTTATTTATCGAGCTCTGATGGAAGTCTCTCAGTATGGTGATACAGAAATTAATTCCAATGAATTGAAAAGTACCTTGGACAGGTTAAGACAATGTGATAATGGCAGAACGAAATGTAAATTAGAGGAGGAGTTTGAGAATATAATAAACGCTTTCGAAGACAGGAAATCCTGTTCTGTGGCCAGCGGTGAGGAGAACCGGGAGAAGAACCGCTGCGACAGCATCCTTCCGTACGATAGAAATAGGGTTATACTCACACCATTATCGGGCAAGGAACATTCCACGTACATAAACGCGACCTTCATCGAAGGCTACGACAATAGTGAATCGTTTATTATTACCCAAGATCCCATCGAATCGACGATTAACGATTTCTGGAGAATGGTCTCCGAGCAAGGAATCAGCGTGATAGTCATGCTTTCGGAAGTAGGCGAAGGGAAATGTCCAAGATATTGGCCCGAGGAAGAAACATACTACGATCACATCAACGTGCGATACGTTCAAGCTGAAAGCTGTCCTTATTATACTAGAAGAGAAATGATTATTAAGAGCAGAAACGGGGAAGATCAAAAAGTTACTCATTTACAGTACCACGGGTGGCCTACAGTCGATGGAGAGGTGAGTAGCATTACATAAAATTCACAGAATACTAAATTTTCTAATAATTTTCAGGTACCCGAAGTTACAAGGGGTCTCATTGAGTTAGTTGATTTCTCTCAAACTGTACTGATTAGAAACGGTTGTTCACCATCGATGATAATTCATTGCAATTTAGGATCTGATAGAAGTTCAATGTTCGTTGGCCTCAGCATATTAGTACAGCAATTACGAACTGAAAGAAGAGTTGATATATTTACAATAACGAGAAAACTAAGGTCGCAGAGACAAGCCATGATCAATTCCTATGTGAGTAGTTAATTAATTTTTAATTAAAAAAAATAAATCTACGTTTTGATTGCAGGCACAGTATGAATTTTTACATCGAGCAATTGTAAATTACGCAGAACTTCACGGACTTTGCGAAATTTAAACGCAAATGATTTGGTGCCATAACTTATATATTTCATTCCAAGACACCTTTATATTGGTCTCGCTGATATCTAAGTATTTTTGTATTAGTAATTTATTTAATCTAGGAATAATGTATTTAGTTTAACATTTATTCCTGTGAAGAGCCAAATTAATGATTTTAAACCAAAGGCATTTGAAGGTAAGTTTGTACTTTTTTTAAGACTTGCAGCAATTTTAGCTTTTGCTCAAATTTTTGTTGTTTAAAAAATATCTCTGGCAACTGTTGTTACCTTATTTGTTAATTTTTATTATTTTATGGCAGCTATCCTGGAAGCTCTCTTTTCTAAGGCTAAGTTTTATATTTTAACAGTTGGTACTTTTTTATTTTTCAATTGTATTGAAATGAAAGCCATTTGATATGTATACAAATCTGAACAATTTTTTACCCTAATTATAAACAGACTGAACTTAATGACATTTAAATACCAGGGATATTCACCATAATAATTTTAAACTTATTTTTTGTGTTAATGTATTGTGATATACATATATTGTAGCCATCTAGATATTGTATCATTTTTACATTTGGTACTGCACAATATGTATTTCAAGCACATACCACAATGGATAAAATAAAAAAAATATATTAAGTATGTTCCTACAGAAATAACGAATCAGAACCTGTAAATTTCTCAATTCTAGTTTGCTACTAGTCATGTGACTAAATTAAAATATTTTATTGGATCATGTGAGTTTGTGATTTCTGCAGGAACAGGCCTATTATTACTGTCTTAGGTATTTTTTCTCGTATTGTGCATTTAATGAAGTAGCAAAAATTTTACTTCTGCAGGTTTTTAAATTTTTTTCTTCTGATGCATCAATTGTTTGAGATTTATTTTTGGTTTAATTATATGGTTAATATGTCGTTTTAATTATAAGTAATTTTTCCTAGAGAAGGTACGATCTGAAAGAAAAAAAAACTAAATTTAATAATTCGTGTTAAGGGCTAGTTGATATAAACTGAATGTTTAAGATGATGTTCATAGAATTTTTAACATTTTCCCGTTGATCTTTCAGTTATTTTTAAGCCATTGAAATATGTACTGATAAGGTGTAAGTGTGTTGTAAAAATAACAGGATAATTAATATCCTTCCTTATCTTGAATGACAATAAGGCGATTAGGAAAATATCCATGCTTGATTTAATTAAGCTATGGTTGGTATTTAACTTGAAAGATTAAAGTATGTAATGCCTGAATTGAAAGACTGATTTTTGTAAAATTAGTAGGTTGGGTAGTACTTTTACGACATATTAACCATAATAATTAGTCTAAATATTTTTTGAGCAAATGGACTATTTGTAGATTCGAATATTTTGAGTATTTTCATATTGAAAATAAGGTTGTGATTTTCTAATTTTATATTACTTATTTCATAGGATCTGATTTTAATTTGTACTCGATAGAAAGTTTATTTTTTTTAAGGTAAGAACAATAAAATAGAAATGTTCTCTAATATTTTAAAAAATTAGTACTTTTGCTACGCGTAAAATTTAGCATTGTAGAGAACGGAGAGATTTTTAAAAGACACATCTATGAATAGTCCGTTTAATATTTTTTTAATAACTTGTTTGCCAAATTCAAAACAGCACAATATTTCTTTTAGTAAGTACCAAATTTATTTTTGTATTCCAAACATAACGACCATTTTTATAAAAGAAACGTGCTCAATGCTGTGCTACAAGTGACCACAGTTATCTTTATCACCATTACTATTGTTTTGTATAAAGAATGAATTTAAATGTGGTAGAATAGAACGTAATATACTCAATACCTAACTTGCTTAAAGATGTAGTGCTTTAAGTTGCTTACTCAAACATGTATAATTTTTTAATCATTGTGAACGTCACTTTGTATGTTAGATATGTGTGTATATACAATTTCGTCGACTTTATGTGACTTTACTTTTCTATACCAGTTCTTCAAAAACATTGAATTAACGTCTTAAATAATACGAAATTCTTTGTAATGTTCCTTAACATTCCTTATTCACGTTTATAATTATTTTTTATACTTTTTAGTGTTTTTTAAGGTCTTGTATAGAGCACTCGTAAAATAACTCCCTACAAAGATGTATTCAAAATTTTTTACTAACTTATTTTTGTAAATAACTACATTGGAGTTTTAAATGAAAATAACGATTTTTCTGCATATGTTTCGAAGAAATGTTTTAATGGTTTTCTACCGTACAGTCAGTAAACATTACTGAGGGTGTTAATTTATGACTGAAAAACTGACTTTGCCCTTTGTATTCTCGAATACAAAATTAAGACTGTATATGCAATTATTGCGCTGATAAATAAATATTTATTTATAAATTTTCCTTTTTACTTTTATTTTATAATGCTAACATTTTTACATGTAATAAAACATCATTATAAGTATATTTTATGTTTTATTATCTTATTGTCTTTGGAAATAAATGAAGTAAGTAGAATTGTATTTTTTTATTTACACTTAAGTACAATTATTTCGAAACGTTCGATTTCAGTGAATTCATATTTTTTAATAATTATGAATGAGCTTTATTTTTTACTATTTTACAGATAATTTTTAATTACATGTACCATATTTACATATGTACTACGAAATATTGAGTGGTTCGATGACTTCTTGTATACCCTTCCTTTTCTTACACATGCATTGCCATTGTTTATTACGTAATCTTGTTTCCATTATTAATGACATGACTTGATTTTTATTGAATGAGCCTTGTAGGATGTAGGCGTGTCCATGTAGTACGATTACTACAAATACAAATACTATAAAAAAATATTACTGTGGTACACTAATTAATTCTGTAATAAAAGATCATTTTACTATTTACTATAATAGGTAAAGATAGATTACTATTAGTGGCTAGACACCTACACTTATACGAGGCCAGAATTTGAAAAAACCGAAGATTGTGACAGGAGTATTCGAATTATCTTTCGATTACAATCGATTTTATTGATAATTTATCAAAAAAATTAATTTTTGAAAATCAAGGCATTATTATTTACATAATTAACAAAATATTTGAAATTTTTATACCTTTTTTTATATACATATGTAAATATTAAAAAATAATAAGCTCATTATAACTTGTTATATTTCTTGTAAGTTTAGTGCTCTCTGTCTATAATATAAACATTTGAATTTTTATAAATTTTATATAACAAGCATATTTTATACAATGATAGTATTATCATTTCTAAATATAAAATCTGTAATCTGTAATCTAGTATCAAACAAAATGAAGTAAAGCAACAAATTCCCCCTCTCTAAACCACGCCTAAATAATTTTTTTTGCTACATTATTACAATATAATCTTCCAATTTTTAATGGAAACGCTATCTCTTAGTCACCATTGAGTAAATTAGATGAATGAGAGCATACATGAAACCTCAAATTTTCTATAAAAATTTTCGTTGCGTCACATTTCTCTGAATTTTGTGATCAGATATTTAACGCTACGTTAACGACAATCGATTTACGGGATTTTGTTAGTCACTAGTCACTGGTTGTCTACCATGTTGCGAAGTCCACCTGCCAAGTTGGATAAAGTATAAATGAAATTTTAAGTTATTTGACTAATGTAATTCATGAAAGAAGGTACATTTGTGATCTTTTGGAAAAAATAACGTTTGTGTTATTAGTAATTGTTCGTATATTTATGAAATATTCCAAGTGACTTTGGAAAAGCGGCAACAATGCAAGCGATCACCGGCGAGCGGTGTGTCAGTTAGTGCTTTTGTGTTTTTATGATTTTCAACGCTTGGTGTTCTGTGGTGTGATTTTTCAATGAAACATCCAGCCAAGATGGCTTCCAATTTCTTTGTGAACGAAATAACTTTTGGTTTACTTTTTTGAGTTATGAATTAAACTGGTGAAATTGTGTGATAGTGTATAAATACAGTTTTTCAACAAGTGCCCTTAATGTTGATTACAATTAAAACGCAGCGTTATCGAAGCAAATGAGAATATTTATTCTAATGTTATTACTGTATAGAACATAGAATTTTGTGATAGAAACAAACTGGTGGTAGCTAAAATGGGCCGTTATTTTTATATTATATACATCTTTACATGTTTTCCATTAATTAATGGTCAAACTACGATTATACATGGTGAGTTTTTGATGCTAATTTCCTATCTCATAATAAGCATACTTTAGAATGTATAACAAGTTGGCTCTGTCTGATTCTGTTATTCATCCGTTATCATCCATGTGCTAAAATTCATCCTATTTTGATTTGATGTATTGTTTTGATTTAAATGTCCACTTGTTGCTGTACTTATTTGCTAAAATGACGTTGGTTTCTCAGTTAGGGTGTTTATTAAGGCAAACCGCCTTCGTTGCTAATTCATTAAATCTTATTTATCATTGATTTATTATCAGAGACAACACCTTAAATTGTGTAAAAGCTCATTAAATGTACTCGACAGCAAAGTGAATTTTAATTGCATAGCGCTTTAAAAAGTACACTAGGTTATTAAAGAACTAGGTGCATATTTATTTACGTAACCTTGATACCTATTCAGTATTTTTATTTATGATTAATAAAATTTCTCATAGTATTAAGTTTCTTTTCATTTATTGATTCATGAATCATGCTGTGTTTAACAAGTATTGTGATTCATTGATTTGGTATCCCTATGCTTCTGTGGTTTATAAACCTTAATTTCTTTAATCAACTATTTAAATGTCCTGCTTAATAAAAAATACTCATTTTTAATGTATACCATATGCTTTATTAACATGAGATTAATAAAAAAGTATAGTATTATTTTAATAACAACAGTTGAAATTATTACATCAAAACATTCATGAAGAAAACTGATGATGCACGCATTTCATTCTATTTTATGACTCAAAGCTAGAAAAATGTAACGAAAAAATCTTAAGTAACCTGTCTGGATAGTCACGCATTTTTATATTATTTGTATCCTGTAATAAAACATTATGTGTTTAAGCAATAATTTGTTTCTTGTAAATTATGTTTCTACTCGATTTACAATTCCTAATTATTTTTATTAACACAATGTGTTTGCATTAAAAGGAAATAGTAAATAATACTTTAGTCAGCACAATCAGTAATTTGATTTGAGTTAAGTACATTTAATATTCCAATTGAGACAAACTATACTATTTGATTCTAATTATATTTATTTACAACTCGTATTTAATTTCATTGCCTATTAAAAAAATCGTTTGCAGGTTATAATGACAATTCTGTTGAATCGTTCTTATCAACACAAGCCAAAAGCGCGAATATAAGAGTTGATAACCACAAGCCTAAGTTTAAGGAATGTCAAAATTACAGACCCTCTGTTAAGGAAGAACAGAGGGCAAACACTTACGTTATGACTGTAAGTTAAGTTATTTCTCGCCTAAATCACGTTTCACATCAACAAATATTGTAGGTAACCGCGTTCGATGAAGATCCGAAAGATGCAGGAGGTACAGTAACGTATTCGATAATTCACAGGGAAGGAGAACGTGTCCTGTTTCAAATAAATAATGTTACTGGACAATTAACGACCATTCAGCCTTTCGATCGCGACGAACCTCTCAGACAAAAAGAACTTTACGTTACCGTACAAGCCATCGATAATGGAATACCGCCTTTGGCTGACATTTGTACTTTTACCGTTACGATTACTGATATTAACGATAACGCTCCACAATTGGATAAAGTGGTAATTAAATCTATTCGTTTATACAATTTATTCATTTCAATTACTTATTCCTATTCAGGAGTTAATGCTGTGATTTTGTACCTTTTTTTTATAGGAGTATAACACACAAGTATCCGAAGATTTAAAAATCAACAGTGAAGTTATGCGTGTCTTTGCCTACGATATTGATGATGGAGAAAATTCAAGACTGTCGTACAACTTTTCTGATCACGATAGACTCTTCACGCAATATTTCAGGATCGATAGAGATACTGGCGTTGTTTATTTAAAGGACTCGCTAAACGATGTAAGTTTTTTAAAGCAAATCACTTTTCATGCGAATATATTCTCTATTTTTTTTTTTTTTTTTTTTCAGAAAAAGAATACTAGGTTTAACAGTGTCGTATATGTGTCTGATAACGGGATAGATGATCAGGAAGGTCAAAAATATTCAATGGTTAATGTATCGATTACCGTGGTAGGTTCTGACAAACAACCTCCGAAGTTCACCCGCAGGTATCCCGAAGGACCCATTATAATCCCAGAGAATTTCAATGATTTTTCGAAACATTTAGTCACAGTAGAAGCCGAGTAAGTATCGACTACAATTTTCTCGGGTTTTGTTCTTATTTTACATTATCATTTAGATCCAACATAAAGGATCCGGCTATAGCTTTCGAATTGGCAAAAGGTAAAACATATCAAACGAATAAGGATCAAACATTCCTCTTGGAAGCAGAGGGTAACATCGCTCACATAAAATTAGTACGTGCGCTCGATTACGAAACTGTAACTGAATACACCTTGCAAGTGCGCATCAAAAATAAAGATTCAATGGATTCGTCAATTAATATACCGATAAAAGTCGCCGATGTAAACGATGAAATTCCAAATTTTTTGGAGTTTCTCAAAGGCAGCATAGTGGAAAATGATAATGCCGGTGTACAGGCCATCCAAGTCAGAGCCATCGACAAAGACGGTACGGCAGCTAATAATATTGTCAGCTACGAACTGGTAGATAACACAGATCTTTTCGCCATCGACAAATCGACAGGAGTCATTACATCGAAAGTCGCATTTGATCGTGAAGAAGTACCTCTTTATCACGTAAATGTCAAAGCTTATGACAATTCACCGTCGGCTCTTTACAATACAACCGAACCGAATATCGTCATACAAACGTTTCAAATTAGTATAGAAGATCAAAACGACAACAAACCCAGATTTCGGCATCCTATTTACCAATTTAGCAACATAACGGAGTTATCGGACAAACTAAGTATTGTTGGGGAAGTCCAAGCTCTGGATAACGACACGGCTTCACAAATAACCTACAGTATTACTTCCGGTAACACAAACGATTCGTTTATGATTGAAAACACCACCGGAAGAATACGAGTCAACGGTAGATTGGATTACGAGCAAATCGAGCAGTACAATTTGACCGTCAGGGCTTTCGATGGAGCATTCGAAGATTTCGCCGACGTCTACATTTCGATACTGAACGAAAACGACGAAAGGCCCGTCTTCAAGCCGTATCTGAAAGACGTGGACATCGAAGAGGAAAGCGCCCGAGCCGAATGCGTTTTAATCGTCGAAGCGTACGATCCCGACATCAAAGACAGAAACGCCGACCAGCACATTGTCTACGAAGTGGCGAAAGAGCAGAGCGATTTTCTCCAAGTCGATTCCAAAGGTTGCGTTACCGTCACCAAACCGCTCGACAGGGATCCCCCGTTCGGCAATCCGGCGAGGCAAGTGTTTATATACGCCCGCGACAACGACGGGGGCACCAATTCCTTGATCGATACCGCCGAAATTGAAATCCATTTGATCGATATTAACGACAACGCGCCTTTCTTGAACGTCACTGAAATAGTCTGGTACGAGGGACAAGATCCTGGTTTAATAGGTAACTTGAGCGCTGATGATTACGATGGTCCGGATAACGGGCCTCCGTTTAAGTTTCGATTAGCAGATACAGCTACTCAGGATATCCAGAGCAAATTCTCCGTTAATACGCAAGGACTACTGTATGCTTTAGAGGAATTTGACAGGGAAAAGCAGAAATACTACGATATACCAATCAGTATAACAGACAGCGGAATTCCTGAACAAACTGGTACCAGCATTCTCAGAGTTATTATAGGAGATATCAATGATAATGTTGCTGGTGATGGTAATAGTACTATTTTCGTTTATAAATACGTCAATGGACCCGATACAGACATCGAAATTGGCCGAGTGTTTGTTGAAGATTTGGACGATTGGGATTTAGATGATAAAGTGTTCATTCAATTAGATAGCATTGACGAATTTTCTCTAAACAAATCCAACAAAGGCATGATTCTTATGAGACCAACCACATCAGAAGGTACCTACGTTGTTCATTACAAAGTTACCGAAACCCATGAACCCACTATTCCAAGACACACCGTAAACGCTATAGTTACAATAACTATTAAAGAATTACCAGAAGAGGCTGTTTTTAAATCGGGCTCTATTCGTATAAAAGATGTATCCAAAGAAGACTTTGTGGAAAGCTCAGAGGTAAGTAGTACCATTTAAAGCGATGTCTAATTGAGTTCTGACGTTTTACTAACCCGTTTTTTAGAATAATTTGGGCAAGAAGGATATCTTACAACAAGAACTTTCTAAAATCTTGAACACATCTTTAACGAACGTAGACGTCTTTACAGTTCTTAATTCCCCCCATCAAAACAGTTCGTTCGTAGACGTGAGATTCTCCGCACACGGTTCTCCGTATTACGCTCCGGAAAAGCTTCAGAATAAAATTACTGAGCACCAAAACGAGGTTCGTTTCTTGTTACACATTTTACCTTGCATTTCTAACTCCACTGATTGCAGCTTGAACGTAAACTGGGCGTCGAATTCGCAATGATCAACATCAACGAGTGCCTGAACGAAACCGTTTGCGGAACCGACAACTCGTGCACGAACAAACTCAACGTAAATCGAGAGCCGGCTGTTGTTTTTACCAACAGAACGTCGTTCGTTGGAGTGAACGCCTACGTCGATCCAGTCTGCGCTTCCATTCCTCGAAACGAAGGCTGCCTAAATGGCGGTGTACTAATCGAAAATGCAGCGTGCGATTGCTCCGTAGGCGACGGGCCCCATTGTGAAATACTGTCCGTCGGGTTCACCGGAAACGGTTGGGCGCTCTATCCTTCTTTCGATGCATCGAACAAAACCGAAATCGTTTTGCACATTGAAGCGCACAGCGACAACGGTCTGATTTTTTACAATGGACCGCTTAATACCAGGCAAAGTGTTCTATCCAAAGGTATATAATACCGTTTGTATTGTAATTCGAATTACATGTATTGAATTTTAGATTACATATCGTTGGAACTGAGAGATGGTTATCCATTGTTAACTATATGCACCGGTGGTAGCATTAAAGAAATATATCTTACCAAAAACATACCTAAACTGAACGATCACACAACGCATAAGCTTAAAATAGGTTCTGGTGTAGATGTAAGTATTATGTTATACTCTTAAACGTGTATTAAACTTTTTTATTACTTTTTTAGGATATGTCTTTAGAAGTAGATGACTGTGGTACAAAGTGCTACGTGTGGATCAATAAGGACAACAAAGGAGTAGTAAGAGCGAACGGGCCGCTGCAAATTGGCGGGTTGAAGAACAGATTCAACGATGAAGAGTTCAAATCGATTTGGAACCATTTACCGCCCACTCCGATGGGCTTCACTGGCTGCATTAAAAATTTGACTTACAACGAATATTTCTACAATCTCGGAGGTCCATCGGACATGTACCAAGCCTACCCCGATTGCAACTACGGCGTGATCCAAGCCGTTACTTTTATCATCGACTCGAATTTCTTGGTTGCCTTGCTCGTGTGCTTGGCGATATTGATCAGTAAGTGTTAAGGAATAAAGCATTTTTTATTGTTTATTGACCCGTTCATTTCTGTTTCAGTACTTCTGTTGGCTGTCGTGGTGCACAGGCGCAAACGGGACAATATTAACGAGAAAGAAATGGACGATACGCGCGAGAATATAATAAACTACGAAGATGAGGGCGGCGGCGAATGCGACACGAACTACGATTTGTCCGTTTTGCGGCAGAACAACCTCGACGAGAAATCGATGTTGAGGGACAATCCGGACGTGCCTGCGGACATCAGTTGCTTCCTGGACAACAAGAAAGATAATTGTGATAAAGACCCCGATAATTTGCCTTTCGACGATGTTCGCCATTACGCATACGAAGGCGATGGAAACAGCACCGGATCACTTTCTTCTCTCGCGTCCTGCACCGACGAGGGCGATTTGAAATTCAATTATCTATCGAACTTCGGTCCTAGATTCAGGAAGCTGGCGGATATGTACGGTGAAGATCCGAGCGATGAAGATTCTCATGACGGCGGAGAGGAATCTTGGTGCTAAGATTCGACGACTCCTGTAAAGCCCATAGAAACTTAATTGTACTTAAAGGACTATTTTTGTTAACCAAAGATTGGAAAATTTTTTGGATGTACTGAATGAACAATCAATGTATATATTTGTGACTACGGTAATTGTCTTCAGACTGAGACATAGCTAATGCTATATTTTTCATTTCATATCTTATTTATGCCATTTGATGGAATAATTTTCTGGAAATCTTTTCTACGACATTACTGTGATTTAAACCAATTAGAATAAGTAATTTCACATGATCAGTTCCATTTTTTTTATTATATATTTCAGTCAGTATTTTTGGACAGTTATTAATAAAATAAGCAAATGCGAAATTTACAAACGAAGAAATATTATAGCACAATGTCATCAACGTAGTTTATTTTTAGACTTTGCAATTTCGGGGCCTTATGAAAATATATGCCTTTTAGATTAAGCGCAAATACACTTATTCCTTAAAACGAGAGCAAATCAAATATTTTTTCTATATAGATTTTAGGTGTTTATTAATTAATACTGTTGTAGACTACTTTAAATATAGGTTAAATGTTTAAATATCTTACAAAATTTGAACTTTGTCAATATTTTTAAATTTAGAATTTATTGAAGGGAACCCATGAAATTATATATTTTCTATTTTTATGTTCCATTAGGAATGAATTAGATTTCATTGGTCCCTTATTTGTTATTGATTTAGTTTAAATTTAAATGAACACATTTTTTATTGACCATATTCTAATGATAAATGGAAATCGAGAAAACCCTTTTACAGTACTGCTCAAAAATGAATGTCCAAAAGTAGAGAATTTTCCTGATTTTCATTTACCATTTTATTTGTATCACAAAATGCAGTCTGTAGAGATTTCTTTTCGCAAAAGAAAAATAATTTTAGTTAATCATATCTTCTGTCAATTTTATGAAACTGAATAGTTAAAAATATGTGCCTTCATTAAAAAGACAAAACGTGCAAATATGTCTCTGTGGACTGTTTTATGGTGCAATTTTTTCGGATACATTAGTCAAATAATATAGGTTGTGCTTCAACAGCTAAGTAACAGAACTTACTAATGGATTGGAGAAAATCGAGACTGAATTTCTAATGTTTTGATACTTTAGATATTTTTTAAATTTCCTTTTTTTTGTTAACTTGTTGTATATCGAGTGATTATGATTGAGGCTTCGACGTTTTAAATTATTTAAAACAATTAAATTAATTTCACAACTATGCAAAAACATTTATTTATTGTAGTAAAAATGTAGCAATCTCCATTTTTTGTTAGTAAGTGTTTGTTAATATTTTGTACAATATACTATAAAGGGCGCATATATTATATAGATTATGTATATGTATACTGCTTAATTTGTATTTATTTTTATTAATCGAACATTCCTTTAACTATTTATATATTTGTGATCAGTATGGCAGCCATAGGTAAGAATTTTTAGTTTTTTTTATTTTACTTCATTTCATTCCTTTATTTTCGAATCAGTATTTTTATGTGTGCATTGAAAGTATGCATCATGGCAACTGCAAGAATGTAGAAGTACTGATTACTTTATTAATTTGCGTCTTTAAAAATGTGCCTTTAATGAGCTGCAAGTAGAGATGATTTTCATGCTCTTGAAATCTTGCTCACTGCCATTTGTTAAACGTATAACAAACATCATTTTTTAAATAAATGTTTAAAAAGGATATCGCAAGATTTTATTTCGAATTATGTAACCATTAGAGAGGAAATAAACTGAAATAACTCTTTTTACTATGATTATGTATTTTTAAAAATCAAACATCTATATTATTTAAATAATAAAATACATTTTATACATAAAAATGATAACGATAAATAGAAAATTATAAAATTTTTTCGATACAAAATCTTATAAGATTTATGTTGAAAGTTTCCAACGAAAACCCTTTTACTTTTTTAAAATTTTAATAACATTGCATTTTGAAAATTCAATAATCTCGAAATCACGTGACAAGTAATTTTAATATTAAAAATACACTAAAATTGCATTACTAAAAAATAAATAGATACCGAGTCTCCAAAGCCGTCTACGATATAAGACAGACCACGTGAACCATATATTTTATTGTCAGTGCTTTAAACTTATAAATAAAACTACCTGGACTTACGCGATTTAGCATTCGTACCCAATTTGCATTTAGTGTAGAAAAAATGTTTCAAAAAACGCTTGTTAATCCAAGAGAATAATTTTAATCTCTTGATTACTTATTTCATCTAGCAACTATTTCATGAACAATTCGTTGAAACTGCTGAGCAGGTACCAATAAAATGGCAGAATTTTTATATTCAGGGCGTGAAAAGTGAAGAGATGGCACTATCTGCTTTGATGGGAAATATCTGTTTGCAGTAAAAAATATAAATTCATATGGAGTCTCGTAGGAAGGGACAATCCAACGATGTCGTTTCAGGGCAAAATCTCGATGAATTTACTCAGTCGGTTACTTCAAATAATTTTATCCAAAATTGAGTTTCGAATTTTTATTATTATCTACCCTGTATAGGAAATGTCCATGCTGTATTAATAAGATATGACCGATTTGTACAGGTACAATTAACAACCACGCTTCATACTAAGTTATCAGTAATCTTCGTGTTATTGTTATTATTTTTATTGTGAGGCGGTTGCAATAGATCACAGAACTGCAGCAAAGCTTCTCGCAACGGTTTTGAAACTTGTGTCGATGAAGTTGTCGTACATTCCACTAAATACGGATAGAGGCTTATCAGCTGTTCCCAAGCTTTATTGTCTTCTAAAAAAAAAATTAATTCAGAAAAATTGTAAAAATGTATGAATATTCTAAATACCTTTTACAGCTGTTGCTTTTTTCATAGATAATATTAGAGTTGTTAGGGCTTTCAATACAAAGGATATTTCGGAAAGGCGATACCTGAAATACGCATGAATTACAACAAGATGACTTTTTAATGGTAAATATTTACCTAGGTAACGGGCATTTTCCGCTCAATTTCTCATCTTCTATATACTTCTTCAAAACCTCCTGGAATCTATGCAACAACGACGTAACAGCTAAATGTCCAGCAATGCCGTTATTTTTATCGTCGCCATTGACCACCATTCCGTTGTTATCTATTAAAGAAAATTGTAGTAAAGTTTCGAAGCAGGTTTTCGCGAATTCTTCTCGAAGCGTCAACTCGATGTCCCCGTCAGTTTTCACGTTAGTAGCGGAGTGTATGGAGCCTTTGTTCAGCAGGATGACTACTTGCAATATGAAATCTTTAGGAATTGTCTTAGAATAGGGCAAGACCTCCGTTCTCAGGAGTTCGATGATCTGACAGTCCATGGCTTCGTCCGAAACCATCTCGTCTAAGCCTTTATCACCAGTGGCACACCTAAAAAAATTTATATTATTTTAAATTGCACAAGCGACTCGAGATGTTGCTTACGTTGTTGGAAACAGGAAATCGTTTAGGGTGCAATATAAATCGTTCCACATAGCCGAAAATTGGTTAGCGTGGTTCCTCGCTACTTTCAATCCGATTTTAAGTATGGTTAATAAACTGTTCGCCGCTAATTTCCATATGCTATTCGACACGCAGTTGTATTTCAGAGCTAATGGAGTGTGCAACGAGACTATGATCTCCCTCAGGATGTTTGTGTTGATAACGTCGCTGTTTTCAGCAGTCTTTTCGTAGAGTTTGACGACCATTGTGATGGCCTTTTCCCCGAAAGGTACGTAGTTCATTGTAATCCAATCGGCCGTTTTGGTTTGCTTGCTTTCCACTTTAGCGAATGACGGGGGAGTGCAAGTGAAACTGGCGAACGACAGCAGGAGTTTGAATATTTCCGGAATCATTTTCGAGTTGTTTTTCAACATCGTTTCCTTCTGGAGAAGCTCCATTACGTGCAAAACCCCGTCGTGTAATGGTGTTAAACTAACGTCGTTCGAAGTGGAAATAACATAAGGAGTTTCTCCGAAAACTGGAATCCTCACCGAATTCACTAACACGACTCCTAATTGCTTTAAATCATCTAAATTAAAAGTGTTTTTCACGTGCTGAAAGACGTTGGGGAATATCTGTATCAAAGATGTTAAGAATGTTTGACTCGGAATGTAATAATCGTCTTGGGACTCGTTTTCGATTAGCGGAACTGTTATTTCAGTACCGATTTTAACCCAAATTTTCCAAGCCACTGCCCATATGTCTTTATCTTCGACAGACGCTTTGCTGTCCACGCTTTGATTCTTATTCAAAAACAGCACTTCCTGAAAGGACTTGAGAGCTGCTATCGATACCTCGTTGTTTTTACTTAACGCTGCGTATTCAATGAACTCCAAAAGGATGCCCCACGCCCTGGGAAAGTCGCCCAAAGCTTGGAGAAGCTGTCGCTTGGTGTTAAAAACCCTAGCAACACCAGACAGCGTCAGTACTTGCGTCTCCGCCCATTGCTTTTGGGCCGTATTACGCGAATGGTGTATCAAAATATTCCCTCCGGCATCAACTTTTTCGCTGCTCGCGGAATTCGACAGGTTCCTGACCTTATCGAGCAGGGGAAACAGAACCTGCCAGAGCAGGACTTGCCACGTGGGCGGCTTCAAGAGCGAGCCGTGCGCCGAAATCGTCGAGAACAACGTTTGCCCAGCGGATTTTCTCACCGCAGGTCTCGAATCCACGCAGAGCTCTCCGAGTCGAGCGTACAGACACATCCAGAGTTTATCGAAGCTCGGCATGTTAAGCGTGCCGGGGAAATCGGGAAGCACGGTATTATCTTCCGTCGAAACTTGACTTAATTTGCTTTGATTTTGGTGGAAGTAGTCGGATATATTCCACTGAAATATGTTCAATAACGAATTAAAAGATAAGAAGATTATATAAATGTCTTACTTACCATCAAACCGACAGCTGTTAATGAAATGTTTAGTTCTTGTGTTTGGGATCCAAATTTAGCTACTGTATCGACGCATTGGGGTAGACACCTCAAGGGCATCAACGGCAGGAAATCCGTAATGAGCAACTGTAGACACTGGAAAGCGATCCTAATAAGGTTTTCGCTGGAAAAATAAAACTGTTTAGCATCAATAAAGCAACAGTATGGAGATTTCACTCACCCGTGTTGGTCGCTAACAGCACCGATGATCCCTAAGACCAAAGGCCAACCGTGCGACAGGGTCTCCCCGTTCGCGTGCAGTATCTGCAAAACGCATTCCAGCTGCTTCTGCCTCACGTCCCCGTGAGGAACGGACGACAATTCGTACAGCGGTCCCAACAGCAACGTCTGCAACTTCTGGTTCTCTTTAAGCGGTATCGCGTGGTTGTAGTGAAGAGCGGCCTTGACCAAATACGTGATGGCCTCGACCCCCCAGCCCCGCATCCGAATGTGAGGGTGATGGCAGACTTCCAGCAAGTGGTTGGTCAGAGGGCGCCACAGCACCTCGACCCTCGACATGTTCACCAAACCGGTTTCCAGGAGCTTGGCGACGGCGAACAGGCTGGGCTCTCGGTTGGAGTAGGCCAGCTCCATGGCCTCTTGCGACAGCTTGCACAGCGCGCTTATTAAATGATGCAGCGCCACATCGTCTAAATATTGACTAGATTCGAATAGTTTACTGAGCATTGTCGATAGCACGGGCAAATTGTCCATTACGGAGCTGGTAATTACGGCGTTCGTGTCCGTGGTAGGTCGGACGGCCTTCAAACTACCGCCTGTCGATGGCTTCAATCCCAAGATCCAAACCAAATGCTGCAAGGTGGTTAAGACCAAATGCCAGGAACTGCCCAATATTCCCCCGTGACAGTGGGCTAAGCTGAGCAAGGCTCTCATCGATTGCAAATTCTTCGCCGTCAACATCACCGGACCTTGTTGGGTTCCTGCTGGAATCGACGATGTCGGAAGAGGTGTTCCTACAGCCACGACTTGCTGCCGATATTCCGTTTCGCCGTATTGTACCATAAGCGGAAGATTCATGTCTTGACTATCTCTATGCACTGTTGAGAAATTCTAGTTAGAAACCTCAGTAGTGTTAACGGGCAATAACTAACCTTGTCTTAAATTCACGCCTGACGTGACGGTGTTTAAGACAGTGAGGGCGTAATGAGGCGGTAATGACGATTTGCAAATGGCTGTAATGAAAGCGTCTCTAGGCGTCTGTAGGTCCAGCATACCGCACAAGGAAGTGTAAGTTTGCATCGCTTTCAGAACGTTTTCGGTCACCGATTCGTCTGTACTGGCGTCTACGAGCGGACTGAGAGCGGCTAATAAACCGCACCAACTGGAGTTTACGAGCTGGCAGTTTAAATCTTTGCCGTTTTCTCTCGTCGATTGCTGGTCTTCGGGTTGTTGATGCGGATTTATCAGTATTTGCAATGAGCGGATGATTTCCATTAGACACGCATAAGCGACAGATATTCCGTAACCATCAGGAACTACTGGTGGCTCTATTTTATCCAACACCTCCAAACTAGATAAAAAAATTGTGTTACGCAAGCGTGAAGATTAGTAATAAGTACTTACTAAGTTGATTTCGCTTGTCCGGTGGGAAATGTTGCTACAATAGGCAGCCAAACGCCTCTTAGAAGGAAGCCAGGTTGAGGGGTAACGCCTGGACCGGCCGGTAGACCTCCCAGATACACGGGAGGTTGTCCTTGAGCCACAGGAACTACAAATTGTTATTAATAAAAAGTTAATAAGCAAGCGAATTCCTTACTTCCAGCGCCCATCGTTAATTGAGGACTGACAAACAGCGATTGGACGTAAGCTCCAAGCGAATTCACAATGTCCTGAAAGATGCTTGTGGTGTGCCTGTTCAAATCGTAACATTCGCAGAAAGAGTTCAACAGCTCCGGTTTGATCGTCATTTTATGCAATACTTCCAGAGCCAAAGATCGCTGCCAAGTGGGTTTGTCCGGATCCAAAAATTTTACAATCAACGACAGAAATATTTCACATTCGGTTACCTAAAAGTTAATTATTACAAATTACGAATTACAATGAGAAGAGAATAACTTACTAGTAAGCTGTGGTATTTTTGTATGAGGATCGAAACGACTCGCAGTAGCCTCATGCTGATGGGAAAATATGGCTTTTCGAAAGGTGTAGCTTGTTGGATGCTGTTCGGCACGTTGCTTCTGTATTTTATATTCGGCGAAAACAATTTTATCACCAAAGCACATACCCTTTCTTTCAACAAGAAGCTGAATTCGGCGTTCTGGAACAATCCATTGAGTATATAATTTCTTTAGGAAAAATTCGTACCTTATAAAAAACTGACGAGAACTGTGTTAATACTGATTCCAATAACTCCAAGCCGAACGTTCTAGTCATCTCAGTCATGCCTATTAGCCAATAAGGTTGGTCTGCGTTTACTAATTGTACTAAGTCTTGGAAAAGCAAAAATGCATCTCCTGCACAGGGAGGCAGTCCTTTAAAAAAATTATCATTAGAATTCGAATCGAAACGAAATAAAAACACTTGTACCTTTCGGGGGACTGCTGCTTGGGGTTTTCAATTCTTCGAAATTCACAGAGCTTGTTTGGGGCGCATTTTCAGATTTCGACAGCTGCTCGTCCTCTGAAACGACCCTTTCGAAAACGAGATACACTAATTGCCTTACCGTAGCTCCGGCTGTGTTTATTGTGGTCGAATTTTTAGCGAAATGCAACCGAAAACATAGCACTAAAGTCTGGAAAATAATATATTATCAAATAAACTACGCTACATAGTAATTAGTTTTACTTACTCTAGCTAAAGTTTCACCATGAACAACCGTATTTGTCGTAAGGAGAAGAGTAACTGTCTGTAGTATCTTCACTTCTTCTATTCCAAGTTCCATAAGAGCCCATAATGTATCCGTTATGTATAAAGCACCTTTTTGATCCACCAGTTGATGAGTAATTAATTTCTGCATTATTTGCAGGCATATCTACAGAAAATATATAATATTTTATTTGAAATTAGTGCATATTATTCGTATTTACCCTTATTAATTTAACGTCTTTAGTTTCACAACCTTGCGATAGAGGATAAATAATTTGATTAACAACATAATATACAGACGACTGCGCTGAAGTTTGTGCAGTCTTCAACTTGTTTATAGCTTCTTCACATGCCTAAAAGTACAAACAATGTAATTTCGCTTTTGGAATTAAGTTTTATGATTACCTCTTTGACTTGGGGATATTTCTTCTTCGATTCGGAAGAGAGGCTCTTGAAATCACTTTGCAGCGTTTCTATAAACGCCGTAGAAAGTTCTACATTATGCGAAACTCCCTCGTATGCCATTACAACCACTTATTTTCATTAAATAAACAAAACAATCTTAGCAAAATACAGATGAGCTGGCACTGTCAGGCAACTCCACTTCTAAATATTTATTTACAAAAAGTTCACCATCAATTTACTCCCTTCTTATCGGTATATCGAATACAGTCTCCATTGTTGCTGATAATTGCCGCTGACACTAAATAGAAACTAATTACCTTCCGATTTTAAAACAATTATTCGACTTTGTTATGTAGGTCTTTCATTTGACAAATTTGACAATTCAACATATCTGTGAAGTTAGCTACTAACCTTAAAACTCCACCTATTGTCTTACCTAACTGTTGTCCGAATAATTTTAGACTGAAGTTTCAGACAAAGCATCATAGAGGCCGACACGTGTCGTATTTTTTTGGTAGTTTTTGAACTTTTTGATTGTGGATAACATTGTTTTGAAAAGTGTTTTTAGTGATTGTGATTTTTTGTGTACCTATTGCAGTATAAGGTAGGCTTTTTTTAGTAATTACTTTTTTGACAGATTTGACAGTTAATTACATAAAATTAAAAATAGGTGTATGCTATGTTACATTAATATTTTTCAAACCAATTTATAATGTAATTATTGGGGTGTAGGTGAGTTTTCGGCCATGTTCAGTGAGATTGAAATATCTGTAGACGTGACCGGCGTGACCGGCGTGACCGGCGTGGCCTTCAAATAATAAATAAGCCATCGCGCATTTAACCTCACGTCTGCACCGATTCCTTTAGCATGCTAGATATTCTCAGAGGGTTAAGGCTTTTTACGAAAATAAAACGTCTACATAAAAGCTGCTCCATTCCCCCTAGCATCTAGTATCTAATAGAGTAAATCAATAGAACAGTTTCATTCAAGTATTTGTATCAATAACATGTGACATAAAACATAAGTAGGAACAGCATCTTGAAGAACTTTTACGATTATAGCCCGGCAAAACATCTTTGATTTGAGATTGAAGCGCGTTTTCGCCTACCGAATTAATGTCGGGATATAGTGAAAACAGTCTGCTTAACCGTCGTATAGATGCAAACGGCCGTCGTTCCTTCGTTTCCACGACGAGGGATGCATAACGATACATAAATCCGAGCGCGGGGCATCCTAAATTTCGATTATTTACCCGCTTAGCCACTTTCGCGAAATTAGTACCACGCGAAATTTCGGCTTTATGAAAACTTCCGGTTTTTCCCGTATACGCGATCTGCCTATGTCGCCGTTATGCCTCATAGAATTTCATTAGGTCATCATTGGTAGAGGAGAATCAGTCAAGGGGAATGCGAACATTGAAACTTTATTAACATCGGCGGTAGTAGAATTTTCGAGGGTATGAAATGCTGTCATCCTTCGGAAGTAAATAACAGGAAATGTTTTTGTTTCGACCGAGCCATTGCTCGATCGTAAAAGTCTGATGGAAATCCTTTTTTGACCGTTATCGGTTGAAGTTTATACGCATAACGGTGCCATATAAAAATAGATGAGATGATTTATTCAACATGATTTCATCCGTAATTATTTAATTACTAATTTCCGTTCTTAAAGGTAACACCAGTAAAAGTCTTTACATCGAAAAATCATACATATTTCTTCCACTTTAATGACCTCCTTTCGACTATTTTATAGTTTTGGAGACAAAGACCACTTGGCAGTAATCACGGCGCGAAGGGTAATAAGACTGTTCGGAACATTGCGCCACTTAATGTCTGCCAAGTAGCCAATCGACATTGGCTTATCACACTAAATTCGTATTCATTAAAAGTACTGAGGGCGATCTTAGTAAGCATTAAAAGTGAGTCGTATCTTGTTGAAAACACTTAAGAGAAATGTTTGACCATTCGGAACAATTCCACCACAAAAACCCAACGTTCTTTCTACTTCTCTACACAGCATTTAAACGAGAGAATATGTTTAAAAATGATAGTGTAAATAACTCGTAGAAAAATTGTATAAACAAGCATTTCGTAATTTTCAAAAACGTAAATGAATAGCATTGAAGGAAACCGGTGATTTGTGCTGTAGAAACGGCGCCGCGGCTATTTATTACTGTTGAATGCATGAGGGAGTTTTGGTGGAGTTTTTCGGGCGGAATCGCGGATCGCTCTTAAGGTCGGGATATGGCCTCATTTTATCTGATTTCAGACTTCCGTGCAATCGTCAAACGTCAATAGAGGCCTGATGATAGAATGTCGTAACAAGGAGCAGGCTTTTAGTGTTGGCTATAAGAATCTGCTCGCAAATGTTCCCTTAGATAACAATAAGAACGCCCCATAAATTTTACTGTATTGATTTTATTGCAAATAAGCCTCACACTTGAAGCGATCTATCTTCGGATCACCTTCTCTTTATTGTGAATTTTTGTTTATGTCGCACAATAAAACAAAGTACAGATGCGCTCCCGCACCCGGAGAAATCATTTTAGATGTAGATGTCTCTTCCCTAAGTTTTACACCTCGAATAAAATTCGTCCTCGAATAAAAGTTCGCCATTAAATCCTATCAACATTAAATATTTTGTCGACTTTGCGCTTTGAGTCATTGATTTTACTCTCCGGACACCCTGTATCTATAGTTTTCTAGTTCTAAAGTTTTCTTTTCAATGATGTATTGTACCAGTTATAAATCACAATGGAAAAATTAGAACTCTGTTTTTGCTAACTTTATCCAGTATATAATAAATAATATTCGTATCATAATTCTTTTTGGGGGACTGGAGCGATGCATAAACATAGACCTTGTTGGAATATTTCAAAGAGAAAAATAATTTCTGTTAAATCATTCGAAATTCGATTGGGTGGTGTCCATAGATATAAAAAACATTCCTAGGTCGAACAAAGCGTCGCAATATTCGCCGTACAGGACACATAAAATTTTATTATTACAGCCATATTTTTTATTCCAAAGGGCTATTAATAATTTATAAACCAGAAAGAAAATAATCTGTATTAATAATTACTCCAGCACCCCTTGTACATTAGCTTCAGTGGCGTAAGACCAAAAGCGATTACAGCGATTATAGCTCAACATTTCACTAGCCGACTCGCTACTTGGGATCACTTCCGGTTTCCGCTAGTCTTCACTTCGTTCTTCCGGTAAATTCACGTTCCTCTCTCGGCCGGATCCTGCGTATTTCTTATTTATTTGTAAGGAGATTGCACATATCTGTTATTCGTTAAGGACTGCTTCGAGGCGCCGTCGTCCTTAACAGACAACAGGGGGCTAAAAACACTCATTTCTTCCCAGCGACAGTAAAATCGAACCCAATGTTATTCAATATATATAGGGTGTATACTAAACAGTGTTTTATCTAATTTAATTAAAAAGCTTCTTAAATTCTCTAGTGATTGTTACATAAGTAATTTATTAACAAAAAAAAATAATCAAATTAATTCAGTTAAAGTATATTATTTATTGCGCGTATAACGCAAATTTAGAGAGCAAAAATTTTATGTGCTTTAAGCACGAACTGCATTGAAAGTAACTTCGTTTGAAACGGAAATCCCGTTCCGAAATTAATCACTTTAACAATAAATGCGGTTAAAAAAGGCGTTTCTATTTTAATTGCATTTCAATTTGCAAATTGGACAATGAATTTAGCTGGAATACGTGCGCATATATGGTGTTTGTGATGCACCGGGGCCCCAGGAGACGCCTAAAGACATTAAATGCAGATTGAATACGTCCGCATCTCGCCTATTTTCGAGGTTAAATCACATATATTCGAATCATTCCGATTGATATTATCACGGGGTGTTTTAAATTAATTTGAAACTCACAATTTTTCTGTGAAATTTCAACCCCCGTTGTATTATAAAATACTCCATAGCAATGTTACAAACACCCTTCCATTAGCAAACATCCGATAATAATTTCGGAAACTGACGTTATAATTTAATATGAAAGGTTTTTCCTGCTTTCTGAATGAATGGCGATAAGAGCTAGATAACGACAGGTCTGTGGGGTGAAAAAATTGACAACCAACTTGAGGCCGTAAAACAATACAAAGTGCATCCGAGCCGGATTATATAATTTTCGAACAGGTGTGCTTATTGAATTAATAGGTACCTGTGATTCATAGTAGATCGCATTCACTTCACAAATTAGCATAAAGCCTGCGCGGGGATAGATGTACATACATGCGATCTCACCCCAGTTTCACCATATATGACAGTTGTATAACCTACATCCCCACAATATTAAAACATAAATCGCCGTTTGGTTCACGAACTTTCATCGGAATAAAAATGATAACAATTGGACAAATATTGTAGTATTATTTGTTCTAAAAAAATAACGAGATAATACATTCCAAAATGATTTATACATATTAAAACATCCCTTATAGGGTTTTTTACATTAAAAATTATAATTATGAACTGAATATTCCAACCCTCGATTATTTTATTAGGCACTCGATAGGAAATATGTTTGAGTTAAAATCATATACCAAATCGCGCTTGAAATTAATTTGAGGTGTAAGCTTTAAGCTTTATTTACTTTGCCATTCAGAAATATAACCAAATGTCAAATAAACACATTCCTAACGCCATGGCATTAAGTTAAATTGACCAATTTCGAATTTAAAATGATTATGTTTGTTCGTCAGACTGGCAATTTTTGAAAGCATTATTTTTTATTACATCAAATTTTTCAATTGATTAAAACCGTAAATTCTAAGTGCAGCTTAGGGTATTTACCGTCCCTATAAGCCTTTCGCAGCTGGATTTGGACATATGCAAGACACCCCCTATTTGCAGAGATAAAATTTAAGAGTTTAATAAGTATTCGTCCGTAAAAAAATATCAATTTGAATCCTTTTAGTGTGGCACCAACAATCGACTCCAAACCACTATAATAAAATATTTTAGACATATCATAATAATGGTGAAATGAAGATAAATTGCGTGTACCAAACCGTGTTATCCTATCATCTTCTTCGAAAGCGCAAAAAAGGGATAATAAAAGCGCTCTTGCTCAGTAAAGAACTTAAAATTTTAATTTTATTGTACGAATGCTCTTCGGCACTCTGTAGGTACAATTCATAAAGTTTATGAGCAAGGAATATTTTCATTAGCAAATTGAATTAGAATAGACCATATATCAAGTTTATGATAAGACTCGTAAACGTAAAAATAATTAATTAAGACAAAATGTACGGCAATAAAATTCGTACGAAGTTTGTTAAGAATTTTAAATTCGAATATATCGTGTCGCACTGCACATCATCAATTCATTCGAAAAACAGAACTTTTT